AGATAGAAGCCACCTAGCCTTAGAGTGTGCGTGGGAACAGGAGACACGGGGAGTGAATAACTAAACACGTAACAGAACCTCAGGCAGCAGTAAGTGCCAGGAAGAGAAATACACCCGCAGGAGGACACAGCAGCTCTCTGATAAGGTGGCGACTGAATGAATGAGGTGAGGGAGCAAACGCCATGGGGACACCTGGAAGGAGGGCAGCCCCAGGCTGAGCGCCCAGCAAAGGCCCTTAACTGCAGACATGCCTGGCGGGTGCGAGGGGCAGCAGGAAGTTGGGGCTGGAGCGGAGCGAGCAAGGCCTGGGGTGATGGAGCCTGCGGTCAGGGAGGAGCCAGGCCAGGCCTTCCTGTTGAGGGTGTGGATTTCACTCTAAATGACATGACCGCCTTTGACTGAGTGACCGAGGCTCACGTTTTGGACCACAGTATGGAGAACGGGCTATGAGGTGTCCGACTCACAGAGAAGGGGGTCCCTGCTGCCTTTTGCCCACACCTGCCAGCCCAAAGGACCTGGCTCCTTGCTCAAGCCCAGCCCTGCAGCAGGTACCAGGAGGAGGGAAACGGGGGCCGCAGGGCCCCCGCCCACTTCCATCACCCACTCAGCAAAAGTCCTGCAAGACCCCACTCGATTTCCCAGGTGAGTCGTGCATGTCAGCCCCTGACTGGGCTCTGTGCTGCCCTGTAATTATTTGAGTCACTCATCCAGGGACCTTTAAAGGGGGCCTGCTTTCTGCCAGGCTGTGTAGTAGACACAGGGACAGGAAGAAGGTCAGTGCTTCCAAGGAGCTCACATTCTTGGAGGGGTGTGGGGGAACTCAGGAAGGCTGCCCAGAGGGGCAGAGCCCGAGCTGAGCAGGCTGACTCCCCGTGACCCCGGGCAGCGGTGACACAGCTGGAATCACTGATCCACGCCAAGCTGGAACCAGTCCACGGCATGCTAACTCCATGCCCTGTCCTCTGTCACCCTGCAGTGCAGGGAGGGGACAGGAACGGCCCAGGCTCTTCCTATTCAGAGTCAGCCCCTAGGAAGGAGCAGGGGCTTTGGCCTGGGAGCTCGTTGAAGACTGACCAGGTGGTCTCACTCACGGCTGTACTGCCATCCGAGTGAGGGGGGACCCAGATGTGAACCGAGAGACCAGACCACACCCAACAGAAGGGTCCAAATACCCTTCCGCCTCCGGCCTGAGATGGCCAGAGCACTGCCAGTCCCCGCTGCTGCTTGGAACCATGCTGCAGGAGCCTCTTCTATCTGCAGCAGACATGCCAGGGCCTGCTGGCAGCACCCCTTCCGGAAGCTCCAGGAGCCAGTTCCCCAGAGGGGAGCCCTCACCTGAGCCCACGATGGCACCCTCTGTCCCCACACAGCAGCACTGAGTATTCTGGCTTAAATAATCATAACATCTTTGAGCAGAAGATACCCTTTCATTTCAACAACCCCATTTTACAAAAGAATAAATGGGATCAGAAAGGCTAACTCCCACCTAAGGCCTCCAGCTCCTAAGTGGTGGCGCTGAAATTTCAGTTCCCTCCGACTCCAGAGTCCACATGCTCACCCTCTCAGAAGATCACCTTCCTGGCTTTCACAGGCCCTCCAGAGGCCTTCTCAGGGCTGCTCTGGGTACTGTCAGTCCTGGGAGTCTGGCCTCCTGCAAAATCTACGGCTGATTCGTGGTGATGTATGGCAGACACCAACACACTATTGTAAAGCAATTAACCTCCAATTAAAAACAAATTTTAAAAAAGAAAACTTGGGCGTTTGGGGTGTTTTTTCTTAATCAAGTGGAAAAGCCGCCTTTGTCAAACGAAAGTAGGCCTCATAAAAGCAGAGTGGCCCCTACACCACCATAACCAAGGCTGGGGCTCCTACACTTCCCTGCGGCTGGCTCAGCTGACCCTGGGTGATCCTCTGCTAAGTCACAGGTCCCACGGCCCAGCTGCCCTGCTTCCTGCAACTCACGCGCCTTGACGCCTCCACACTCCAGCTTAAGGGCATCGACCTCGGAGGCAGTGGGGCCGTCTCATCTTTGCTCGGCTGGTGAAGGAACTCAGCCCAGAGCCAGCCAGACATGATTGCCCCAGGCACTGGAGGCTGTTCAGTGACAGAGCTGCCACTGGAACCCAGGGCTCCTGTCTCCTGACTACTGGCCGGACCGAGGTGACCAGGACTAAAGGCAGGAAGGTGTGGGACTGACGCAATAACCCCAGGTGGGCAGGATGGCGCTTGCCCAGTTCCTGGCCAGCCAGGTGTCCACCACACTACCTACGCCACTAGCCCTTGGCCCACATACTTCTCCCTCCAGAGCGGAACCCAAAGCTATGAAAGTCTCGCGTTCCTGAAACGGCCACCCTCGGGGATCCCGTCGCTCTGGGAGAGTTTCAGGGAGCCATGGGGAGACCCTCCTGCAGAATGGTGTAGAAGCCTGGTTCATCTGTGGAGATTTCACCAAAGACTGCTCACTGCTGTAAGGTCGGCCAAGAGCTCTGGGGCGGGCGTCCACACAAAGGGAGACCAGCATCTTACACCTGCCTAAGGGGTCTAGCGCCTCAGGATGCTGATGAATCTGAGATTCTGAGTGTTTCAGAGACTCCAATCTGAGATTCCGAGGGTCTGTGGGGATTCCAGGCATTTATGGGGATTGTTTATACTTGGTGTTTGCTGGAATTCCCAGACTGTATTCTAACTGTGTATGAATGCAAGTCTCAGAAGACACCATTCTTTCAGCTGGACGGAGCCCTGAGAAGGAGGGAGCAGGTTCTCCAACATCCTGGGCCGCCTGGCCTGCCTGCCCCTCCCCCACAGGCAGGACAGGCTAATGCAGCCCCGTCCTCCTGCTCGACTGGCCACATAAATCACCCTCCCAATAATATTTGTATTGATTATCTAGATTGGAAGCTTCAATTGGCTCCATTGTCTCACTTCCTCTCTCAGGGCTCACAGATGGGGTCCCAGCCCCTCATCTGCGTTACTAATGCGACATTTAAATGGAGTGGTCTCAGTGGCCAGCAAGGCCCGCCCTGGGTGCTGGGAGACCAAGGAGTGACAAACAGATTCCTTGACAGAGAATCATTAAGTCTAGACTTTGTGGGGCTGGAGGTGAATCAGGACGGGCACGTCCCTGCATACGCCAGGTGTGGTCCCCCAGCACTGCCAGGCCACTTGTCAGAAACCCAGAGTTCAGGCCAGACCCTGCACATCAACACGAGCCTTTCAACAAGACCCCTCAGCGATCTGGGTGCAAACGCATGTTTAAGAGGCACTGCTTGAGTCCATCCCTGGTAATGCACAGAAGGGAGACTGCTGAGCCCCAGAGATGCTCAGGCCACACCGGGTGAGACCACTGAGCCTCCGGTTCAGGCAGAGGAAACGAGAGGGCAAGTTGCTTCTGGAGAGAGGGGCCGGCCATTGCCTACCTCCTCTCCCTCCCAAGCTCTGGACCCCGATCTCAGAGCCTGGACAGATGGCTCAGACCAGAGTCTGACCCCCCTGTACTCTCCCAGCCTGGAGGGGCCAAAGAGAACTCTCGGGACTCCCCAGGAGGGCACCTCCCTCCCACCCCAGCCAGCCAGCTGCCCCTTCCCTGGCAGCAACGGGACGGCAGATCCCAGGGAAAACCCGCACCTGGGTCTGCCCAGCTCAGCCAGGCGTCCACAGCGGGGGCAGAGAGCCGAGGCCACAGAGAGGCGGCCAGCAGAGGGTCTGGGAGAGGTGGGGAGGAGGGAGAAGACCCCAGTCAGAGGGAGGGAAGCAGGGATAGAGCCTGAGATGGTGGGGATGGGGGAGACAGAGTGATGGACAGGAGCAACCAGGAGGAGGGGGTGGACTCAAGAGACAGAGATGCCAGATGAAAGGAGGAGCAGCCAGACTAAGAAAGGGAGCAGGGGGAAGAGGGAGGAGGGAAATGGAGGCAGTAACGAGCGACGGGGCAGGAGAGGGAGGGGGCAGCTGGCCTGGAGGAGCAGGAGCCCAGCATGGCCCAGCCCGGCCAGCCGGCCCAGCCCCCAGTGACAGCGCAGCTGCCACACTCGGGCCCACCACGAGGTCAGTCCTGCCCCGGGGCACAGGGAGAATAAATGGTGTCCAAGATAAAGAGATCCAAGAAATTATTTGTCTTGTTGTCATGTCTGCAATGGGCAGGGACCAGCAGGCAGGCAGAGCCTCGTCTCAGAACGGCCCAGGCTGGCAGGCGCAGCCGCCCACAGCCCCCGGGCCCCGTGGCTGGGACCTGGGACACCTTCCAGAACCCGGGCCTGGGACGGTAGGAAATGGTGAGGACACGGTCAGCACTTGCTCAGGGGCTGGGCGGGAGGAGTCTTGGGTGCCTCCCTCACAGCTGAGGATCTCTGCGGGCTAGGGGCCTGTGGACGGAAGCGGGGCAGCCTGGGGCCCACGACAGCTTCTGAACACCTCAGGGAAGCTGGAACGTTCCAGGGTCAAGGGTAGGTCAAGGGCAGCCCTAGGTGGTGTGAGCACCCATGCTTCATAAGAGAGCAAACTTCAGCCCACAGAGCACACACGCACACGCCTCTCTGTGCAAATGCGTACACTCTCACACACATATGCACACATGCGCACACACTCATACCAAGCCAATTTCCACCACCACCACAAACCTCCAAAAAACATTCCCCAGAGGCTCCCCCCAACCCCCACCCAAGCATCTGAACCGTGGACAGTGAAACGACACTCGGGGAGCAGCAGCAACCTGTTAGAGGCCAGCCCCAGGCAAGCCGCGATTACCCATGACAGCTAGTATCTATGGGGCACTGACCAGCAAGAGTAGGCTTTACTCATGTCTTCAGTCACTACTCCCGACAAGGCTCTCAGGGATGTGCTTCTGCATCCCTATTTCACAGATGAGGAAACTGAGGCCCAGAAAGACTCAGCACTGGGTGCAAGATCACACACCAGGATACGGGAGAGCTGGGATCTGCACCTGGGGTCTCGGCGGCCAGGAAGGACGTGTGCACAGTGGGCAGGAAGGGGCCGACACCTACCATACTTGTCCCCGTCCTCGCCGCGGGCGCTGATCCTGCGACCCAGGACCTGGATGTGCTTCCCGCTGGTCCGGCTGTAGAGCTGGTACAGCCGCAGCTGCTTACGGCTCACATCGTCCCGAGCCCGCGTCTGGTTCTCCACGTGGATGCGGAAGTCCACGTTCTCCTCGGCCGCCAGCACCTGGGCAGGGAAAGGGGTGACAGTGAGCCACCCTGGAAGCCCAGACACCCTGCGGCAGGAACCACATTCACAACAGAGAGCCAGAGCCTCCTTGATGCCGGCTCTGGGCCAAGCATCAGCACATCTCATAACCGCCCTGTTTGTCATCGCCCCGTCGCTCCGTCATGTCTGACTCATGGTGGCCCCAAGGACTGTAGCCCACCAGGCCCCTCTCTCCGTGGGATTTCCCAGGCAGGAATACTGGAGTGGGCTGCCGTTTCCTTCTGCAGAGGATCTTCCCAACCCAGGGAATCAAACCTGTGTCTCCTACACTGGCAGGCGGATTCTTTACCACTGAGCCACCAGGGAAGCTCTATCGCCCTGTTATCTCCCATTTCACAGGTGGGGCAACTGAGGCTCAGAGAGCTGAGGCAAGTCGTCCGAGGTGGCCCAGCCAGGAAGTTGCAAAGCTAAGGATCCGATCTAGGGCTATTTGAAAACACACTTGTTTGACAGCAAACAAAGTTTGCTTTCTTTCTGCCACAGCCCCAAATTAAAATAAGAAATATGGGCCAGAGTTGCCCATGTGACCTTGAGAACACAGTTTGTTCTGCCTCAGATTTCTCCCCAGTAAAAGAGTGGAGCAGAGCCCCCATCCTGAACACAGCCCAGGATGGCTGTCAGGGTAAAGTGAGCCAATGGGAAGAAAAGTACCAAAATCACCACGGAGATGGGACAGGGCCTGGGGGCACATCATTGCTGTTTAGGTCCTCAGTGGGAAAGGAGGGGGACCTGGCAAGTTGCTTCCTAGGAGTGAATGGACCACATCCCATTGCCACTTCTCCCCTAGGAGCTGGTGCTGGAGGGGTTCTCCTCTTCACACTGTAATGGTCCTTATGCTGCCCTATCACTAAGCATTTGCCCACACCCCCAACCCCTTGTAGAGAACCTTTTGCTTAGCACCTCCCATCAAATTTCCTATACCCTAGAAGTTTAGGGCTCCCCTGTTAGCTCAGATGATAAAGAATCTGCCTGCAATGCAGGAGACCCCAGCTTGATCCTTGGGTCGGGAAGATCCCCAGGAGAAGGGAATGGCAACCCACTCCAGTATTCTTGCCCGGAGAATTCCATGGACAGACCATGGGCTCAGAGAGTCAGACACGACTGAGTGACTAACACTTTGCAGAGATATCCTATACATACACACACAGGAAAAAATCCATCCACTTTTATAAGCTTCCCTGGTGGCTCAGTGGTAAAGAATCCTCCTGCCAATGCAGGAGACATGGGTCGGGAAGATCCCCTGGAGGAGAAAATGGCAACCCACTCCAGTATTCATGCCTGGAAAATACTATGGACAGAAGAGCCCGGTAGGCTACAGTCCATGGGGTGGCAAATAGTCAGACACGATTTAGGAACTAAACAACAGCTAGAAGTTTAGTTCATGTCTGACCACACTCTCCAGGAATCCTCCTCTGGCTAAGCCAACAGCATCTCTCCAGTCTTCCTTTGCTGAACATGGTCCAGGTGAGACCCGAACGACTCGCACCCACCTCCTCAGCAGCTTTCCGCTTCTTCTCCCACCTGGAAGTCCATCTCCCACCAAAGCCAGGCACCTTGTGTAATCCTCTCCTGAACTCTCCAGGGCTTCCCATCAAGTTTAGATTTTTTTTTTTTTTTGGACCATCTTTTAAAAGCCTTTCATTGAATTTGTTACAATATTGCTTCCGTTTTATGTTTTGATTTTTTGGCTATGAGGCATAGGGGATCTTAGCTCCCTAACTAGGGATGGAACCTTCACCCTCTGCCTTGGAAGGCAAAGCCTTAACCACAGGGCTGCCAGGGAAGTCCCTTCCCATCACATTTTTATAAAGGTCCCCATCGTGGCCTCAAAGCCTTGCAAGAGGAGCCCCTGACTGCTTTTCCACCTCCATCTCCTACCACTTCTTCCCCCCAGTTTCACTGGCTGCCTTAGCATGCCTCTGAGCATTCCAAACAGAAAACCCAATGGGTGCCTCGGGGCCTTTGCGCTTGCTCTGCCCTCTGTTTCACTGCTCTTTCCCACATTTTTGCCCTCTGGTTCCTCTGACTCATTGGAGTCTCTGCTCAAATGTCACATCCTGAGACAGGACTTCCTTGACTGCTTCTCTGGGGTAGCCCCCACTTTTGTCACTCTTCATCTCTCTACCATGCTTTGAGTTTCTTTCTAGTATTCATCAATCTGACATAACATCTACTTCTCTGGTTTTTGTCTGTCTCCCTGACTTGTTTGCCACCATATCCCCAGCACTCAGCATAGTAGAAATTCAAACATTTGTCAAATGAATGAATGAATGAATGAATGAACATGTTAACATTGAAAAGATCTGGGGTCCTGTCATCCCATGTAACATTAAATGAGGTTTCCCTGCATGCATGCTAAGTCACTTCAGTCATGTCCGACTCTTTGTGACCCTATGAACTATAGCCCACCAGGCTCCCCTGTCCATGGGATTCTCCCGGGAAGAATACTAGAGTGGGTTGCCATGCCCTTCTCCAAGGATTTTCCCAACCCAGGGATCAAACTCACGGTCTTTTACATCTGCATTGGCAAGCAGGGTTTTTTTTTACCACTAGCACCACTAGATTTCCCTGTGCCCTGATAAGCGTATGCCTGTCCCAGCCCATTTAACCAGAAAGCTGAGTAATTCTTGAAGTCCAGACAGCACTCCAAGTTTGTTCTAGGCATGCTAGGCTTTCAGGACCCCATTCCTATGTGAGCAAGACCCCATTCAGCCCATGGAAGAGCTCTTGGAATCAGGACTGCCTGAGCATGTGTCTCACCCCTCAGCTGTGGAGGGGCAGGAACTGTTTTCCTTATTTCTACACCCCATGCCCAGGGTTCCCAGGTGTCTCAGATAGTAAAGAATCTGTCTGCAGTGCAGGAGACCTGGGTTCAATCCCTGAGTCAGGAAGATCCCCTGGAGAAGGGAATGGCTACCCACTCCAGTATTCTTGCCTGGAGAATACCATGGACAGAGGAGTTTTGTAGGCTACATCCCATGGGGTCGCAAAGAGTCAGACACGACTGAGTGACTAACACTTCCTTGCTTATGCCCAAGCCAAGGTCTCTGTGCCCTGGCTGACCTGTATGCATCCTCCCACCCCAGCCTGAGCCTCGCAGGCACTTCAGCTGGACCACGTTATTTAACCTTCACTATCACCCTCATGGTGGAAACATTATCCCATGTGACACTTGAGGAAACTGAGGCTCTGAAGCTGAACCGACACGGTCACAGATCAGGCCGTGGCAGAGTTAGCCCCAAGCTGTGTGGTCTCCAAAGTGCTGCTTTCAGCTCCACCTCACTGGGCCCCACCTGCCCCACCAGTGCAGACGGGAGCAGACCGAGGTTCAAAACCCAGGGCCAGTCTCTCATGAGCTAAGGGTCCCCAGGCAAGTTCCTGAGAGGTGACAATGATACCCACCTCATGGGCTGCTATGAATATTGTACAGTCTTAGAACAGTTGCTTGGCACAGAATCAAGGGCTCAGCAGGCATAGATAATTACCAAGTGGGGCCTCCCTGGTGGTGGAGTGGCTGAGACTCCACACTCCGAATACAGGAGGCCCAAGTTCGATCCCTGGTCAGGGAACTAGGCCCCACAAGCCGTGACTAAGGATGCCATATGCTGCGATGAAGATCAAAGATCACCTGTGCCACAACTAAGACCCAGCATACCCCAGGAAATAGATATTAGAATTAAAAAACTACTGAGAGGATACCAGGGATACCTTTAAGAGGCTCTTGGTGAAACCCCATAAACATAAGCCTCCCCATGGCAGTAGATCACACTCTCACGTCCTTAGGGACAAGGCACTTGAGCTGCTCAGAAGACAGTTTGGGAAGATGTCAGTGCTTTTGATCGTCCCGACAGCCCTAGGCCATGGGAACGCTTATCACCCCATTTAGCACATGCAGAAACCAAGGCTCAGAAAACTTGAGTTGGTTGCTCTGAACTGCACTGCCCAGGGGCACAGGGTCTGTTCACCAGCACACCAAGTGTGCACACATTTCACTTGCACGGCCTTCCGTGGCCAGCCCATTCAGAGCCAGTTCTCAGACCTGGGACCCCTTCCTGTCACACCCTGGAGCTCAGGGAGGGTAGATCTTGCGTGCCCCCGAGGCCCACACCTGCGAGGCCTAAGAAATGACTTTCCAAGGTGGACAGGCCCTGTCCCCTCCCCCAAGGCCAGGCCTCCGGCCTCCTTCCCTCTTCTCCAGGTCTCCTCCTGATCACAGGAGACCTTATTGACCAGAGGTCAAACCAATCTCCTCACCCCCGGTCCCCAAGGGGTGCTGTCCTGCCCCGGAAGCCAGCCTCCCGTTAACGATTTTCCTCCTGGCCCACTGGGCAGAGGCGGCTGGGTGACCCAGGGTCAGCAGGGCTATCCGGGGGCTATTCCCAGGATGTGGGGACAATCCATCTTGGCCAGCTCCCACCATTTGAACCGCACTCTGTGGCCAGGTCAGTCCCGAGGGAGATCACCGGGTGACCTCTGACATGAAGTCAGAGTCCGTCCATTTGCAAAGGCGGGGAGTGCCCTGGGCTTCCTGGGTGGGACCTCTGGGGGCTGCAGGTCTTTGCACGGGCCGGATCCTCCATGGCTGAGTCCCTTTGCTGTCCACCCGAAACTATCACAGCACTGTCAATCAGAAACACTCCAACACAAAACAAGAGCCCTGGATAAAGCCTTGCGTGTGTACTCAGTTGTGTCCGACTCTTTCGCGACCCCATGGACTGTAGCCCGCTAGGCTCTTCTGTCCGTGGGATTCTCCAGGCAAGAATACTAGAGGGGGCTGCCATTTCCTCCTCCAGAGGATCTTCCCGACACAGGGATCAAACCCAAGTCTCTTGCATTGCAGGTGGATTCTTTACTGCCGCACCACCTGGGTCTACAATACAAAATAAATAGTTAAAAAAAAAAAGGCACCCAGCCCCTCTGCCTGGCTGGCCCCTGCCCTCGGGTCCCCCCCCCCGGAA